TCTGGCGGGGTGTAAATAGGTGTAAACTGGGTATCCCACTCATTTGTAATTCTTTATGAGGCTCGGGATTTGATTGCCATAAGTGTTGTTTTGAAAACTTCTGAGCTATCAACCGATACGGATTATATACTATACATAGGTTTTCCCCTAGGGGGTCGGAATTGGTCACCTCTCACACTATTCACTGGGTGAGGTCGCAGCAACCAAAATTCTATACGTTCATGTATGATTGCATATGTATTGCGCAACTCGGGTCAGTATCATCCCCCACAAGTCATCTACTCACCGCAGCCGTCTCTCGCGCTCGGTATCGTGCGCAGCCCAACTGGTACGATGAAAAGTTAGCTCATCCGAAATAGGGGTAAAGATGGTTAGCGAAGCAGGGATGAAGAAGAAACAATTTGAAGCGGCTCACAACCCAAGAAATGGGCCATTCCCCTGCCCGCTGCTTTCTCTACTACGCTCTCTTGCTTCCTAATCACTCGCCACGTATAGACCTGCGGCGAGTGATTAGATAGTCGGTGGGCGTACCCCGCCAACCGCGCCAAGAGTGAGCCATGCTAGATCGCCGGTCAAATCTTTCGCTGCCAATTGCGCGTCGGTCAGCACCCTCAGGAGGTCCGCCTGTCTCCCAACTAGCAATTTTCCCCTTCTTTGACCTTCCGTTCTTATGGTGAATTCCTTCTTTAACCTGTTTTTCACAAAGTATTTTTCATGCCTCACCCATTCCTTATCCACGTAGTAGGCATGGAAACTGTCTCTCCTCTTGTTGTCATACAGTAATACTCGTGACATCGGATGCGATCTGCCGTCAAGACCACGGTGCATCTCTCGGGCCTAGAAGCATTCTTTAAGTAGCTGTTTTAGCATGATCACCTTGGATTCCGTGAATGTTGGGCTCTAAAGAGAAACCGAAAGCTTGGGATATACTGAGCATGAGCCAAGTTGTGCAAATCCTACAAAAAAATGCCAACATTTCCCAGGATTCCCTAGTAGAGACTGAAAAATTGATGAGAACTAGCCAAGGGAGCCATTTTAAAGGCGTTTGGTGAGCGCTAGAATCAGAAACTCCAGTTGGCCGGTCGGTGCCACTGAAGATCTTTATGACACATGCCTTAGCGAGCAGAACCATCGTTACTCACCAGTACCATTATTTTGCCTTCGTCAAAGTCCGTGCCAAGCGTTTGTCCAAGCTTTCGACTGATTATTCCTCTGTAATAAAAAATCCATCACACTTGTGAAACGTTCTCGAAAACTGTCCTCTTTGGGTAGCTGGATCCTAAAATTTCCCGAAAAGGTTCTATCACACATTATTTTTTTTCAGAAGAAGTTCGTAAAAAAAGGAACAGGCAAGGCCGCACAGCTGGACAGCAGACTAAGAGTTTCTTATGTTGCCCCTCTTTCCACAGCCATGATAGGAGGACCAGCTAAATTGGTTATTGCAGTGCCCCTCATTGCTGCACTGGAACACAACACCTTATCATTTTAACAGTGAACTCCCATGATGATCGCGAGGAAACCTCATTCATGTATAGGTATTACGGTAGGTTTACCTTGACATCCTCCAATTCGGTAGTGTCTCCATTTGATATGAACACGGAGTTAAGCTGAAGCATTGTTAACACCTACACCATAACATACCAACAAATTGAAAAATAATCATTTCTTAACGAAAAAGCATACATAAAAACACCCTGATGTCACTCTTTTCTTCCTGCTGACCAAGAGTCCTCTTGAGTACTGATTAAAGGAATCCTACCCGGGAAACTCTTGCATCTTTTCCC